ATACACTAAACGAAACACACACAGGCAAAACTAGAATTGATTGTACCATGAAATGTGAATATCAACTACTACATGGATCAATAGAAAACAACAAAAAAACAAACTGAATGCCATGTTCATTGTCCAAAGTACATCTGGTCATAAATAAACTAATGTAATTTGTATTTGTATTTTTTTTTTGTAGTTTAGTTTGATAAAAAAAGAAAGTTTAAACACATCCCTAGAGAAATGGATATTACAGTTGGGTTTTTTTTTTCAAACAATCTGGTAAAGATTGCCTGTATTATTTTATATGGATGGACTGTGTGAAATAAATGCTTTTAATAATAATAATAATAATAATAATAATAATGTCAATTAATTTTAACTTCTGTCGTACATCTGTCTACACACACGTACACACACGCACACACACACACCTAAGTAGTCTACATAGGGAATAACTGATTGAGAAAAAAATACAACATAAAAACTGATTGCTTCGAGTTTAAACAGTCTTAAAAATTAGAAGAAAAAAAAGCAAAGCTACATGAAGACAGTATTAGTAATAGGAAAGTTATGAAAATAAAAAATTTCCACAGGTGAGATTAAGCCTAAAGTACATACAATGTATGTGATCAGTTAGAGAAAAAAAATTTAGGCTTCATAACATTATAGATTGATAGTTGGACAAACAGTTCGACTTTTAAGTCCATACCTGATTGTAAAAATGGCCTTTCTTAAGATGATAAAAAGCTTTTAACTATAAGCGCTGCTTAACTTCTCGTTTTTTAGTAAGTTAAATAATAAAAATATCAGAGTTTTACTAAAATGTCGTATTCACAAATTCAATTAAAGTAATACATTGAATTATATTATATTTTAATGACACAATCTTGTCAACTCAAACATGTCAATCAGTCAGTTAATCAGTCAATTACAACGTAGAACTTCGTACATGAGTACACGAGTTCAGGTTGCCAGAATACATTAGCACACAGACACAACTGTCACTTCAAATCCCATAATGGTAGAGATAGTGGAAGTATTAGTGGTAGTGGAGAAAATTAGGGTTCGAAGATATGATTTGAGAAGTTTCATTCAGTGAAATTTATTTAGAAAGATAAATGTAGAGGTGATGAGAAATTCAGAAGATTAGAATTTCATAGGAACACAAAGAGTGGATGCACTTGCGCCATTGCAAACGATTCTAAGCTATTTCATCTAAGGTCTCTAACCATCTCGCGGACCCCAACCAGGTAGTAGTCTACATCTACAAACATGACTCAAATCCAATTGTCAGTGACTTCATGGATTTCTACCATGTTTTTGGTTTGGCCGCCCATAGCTTTCTTTCAACCTACTCAAACATGTAGAAAAGATCATGCTTTAAATAAACTAGAAATTAATAAGTTTAGAAAACAGTTGTTAGGATAATCACCTAGTATATTAACTAATTCACTGTGTAATGACACAATTTAAAATAGATGAGGTATTTAGGTACACTCAAACAGTACAGTCAACAGAGGAAAATATAAGCTTACAGAAAGGGGTTTCAGGTATAGTTAGAATTGCTCAAAAAGAAGGCCTAACCATACATTTCGGGACTGACCACTTGAATTAACTAGAAAATTACTTCTTTTTACTCTGGAACATATTTTGGGAGATTCTTAGTTGTGTAAAACTATGATAAATTAAATTCGTTAATAACATCTAAATATATGGCTTAATTACTACATTTCATATCATCAAGAGAAATAAAACTGAAATGAAAGGACAGCTTGGTGATGCTTGCAAGAAGTGGAACACAATGAACATAGGCTGGACAAAAAAGATTAAATTCATGAGAAATGCAATCGTACTACGGCTATGAAAAAGAAAATGTCTCGCACACACAAGAAATTGCACTAATGATATCCAAAGAAGCCCGAAATGCACTTAGAGGATGGGAATTTTATAGAACCAGGATCATCAAAGCATCATTTTAAAACAAAAACACAGAGGGTCACAATGAATGTCATTCAGTACAACGAGCCGTCCAATGAAAGCAACGGAAACGATAAGGATCGATTCTATGAGAGGCTGCAATTAATAGTCAAGAGATGCCCAGGCAAGGACCTGGTTATTTTGATGGGAGACCTAAACACTAATGTTGGAATGTGTAACACCTGATATGAAAATATCATAGGACGAAATGCTGGAAGGAAGGAATTAAAATAGTGAGATTGAAAAATCTACGTTCCTTCAACAAAATGGTTATAGGTGGCTTTATACTCCCACACAAACCCACACACAAGGCTACACAGCTTTTACCGGACCATGTTACAGAGAACCGAACCGATCACATCTGCAATAATAAAAGGTTCAGAACGATCAGAGAAGATATAAGAACAAAGAGAGGAGATGACAAATTTTCACATCATCACCTAGTAAAGGTCAAGATGAAACTGAATCTAAAGAAGCTATGGACAATTGAAGAAAGAACAGTACGAAATTTCAATACGACCATTCTTCAGGATCCTGGCAAACCCAAGGAATTCAAGATAGCTTTCAGAAATACGTCTCAAGCCATACACATTCTACTCTACTATCTGTACCACTATGGGATTTGAAGTGACAGTTGAGTCTCTATGCTTAAGTGGTATGACAACCTGAACTTATATGCGCATGTACGAAGTTCTACATTGTAACTGACTGACTGACTGACCAAAAGAAGGGGAAACTACCATGAAGAACAACTAGAAAGACGTTAAGACGTCAACATATCAGGAAGTGCTAGGTCGAAACTAACATCATCAAAAGGAATGGGTCGATACATGTCGAATACATAAAAGTAAACAAGCAAGTGCGGAAGAGCATCAAAAATGATAGACGGAAATATAAGGAAAATCTAGCAATGAAAAGCTGCAAGAGAAAGAAATAAGGTACAACGATATAATGCGACAAAGAAGCTCTCTAGAAAATACAGCAACCCAGAACTACAGGTCAGGAACAAGGAATGAAAAACAATCACTGAGTTCCAAGAACAGTAAAACAAGTGGATAAAGTACTTTAAAGAACTCTTGAATAGACCAGACCAACTGGATTCACCCAACATTAAAATATATATAACCTACGGACCTGGCAACTATTATTGACTCAACAACAATTAAAGAAACTACCATGGCTGTCAGAGAAATGAAGAGTGGTAAGGCATTAGGACCAGACAACATGCCGACTGATGCATTTACATAAATGTAACTGCAAAGATGTTCCACATTTTCTTCAGCAAGATTTCGAAGGAAGAGCAAGTGCCAACAGATTGAAAAGAATGATACCTCATCTAGATAGCAAAACAGGAGACCAAAGCGAGTATGAAAACTATGGAAGCATCACTCTACTATCAGCACAAGGATAAGTCTTTGATATTGTGTTGTTGAACAGAATGTACACACCCAACTTCAACATCAACAAGTCGGATTCCGTAAGGATTGATCTTATACTGATCAAACTGCATCACTAAGGACCACAGTTGAACAACGAATCGAATGCAAATCATCGCTCTACATCAACTTCTTTGACTATGATAAAGCACTTGACAGTGTCAACAGGAGAACCTTATGGAAGCATTTTCTACGCTATGGTATGCCAGAAAAGATTTTCAACATCATTCAGAATTCTTACGACCGACTACACTACAATTTTGTGCAGGTAGGGCAGCTCACAGAAGCTGTTTTCCAAACGCCCAAAAGTATAGAAAATATATTTATGCATAAACATAATGTAGTTGAGCGCACCATGACGGTAAAAGCTGGCTAAAACTTCCGAATATTGAATAAGGAGAATGATATATATACAATACTGGTTCCAAAAATGAAGTGAACATCAAAACTAACAGATCGGTTTTGCATAATAGTAAATTTTCCAAACACCTTTGGTGAAATCGTTGATTGCGTATAAAAAACATTTCTGTTTCAATGAATCAATTTAATAGCACTAAGGTGATTTTTTATTTTTGTAGATAAAATAATAGACCGTTATCTGCCGTTGAACAAATGTCTTTCAGATAGCAAGTTATATTTGAAAATCGTGTTCATTATGTATTCTTAAAAGTCAACAATAAGGTTCTTTCTTACCTATGAAATAACCTAAGCTGATTTAACTGCTAACCAGCTTTTAAAAGCGGTTTATAAAGCCATGAGTACAATTTCATAATAATAAATGTAGATGATCTACTCTTGAAAATTTAACTCCCTCAATTATAGGCGTTTAACATATTGGAAAGCGACTACATCCAAGATATAAACTAGCTATGAATAATTAACTTCAAAACTATCAGTAAAAAGTAACGAAAAAAATGTGAAGCGGTCAAAACAAAGTGTTATGATAACGCTTGAATATTAGACTTGAAACAAGATTTCCAAGCACGATTTACACCAAAAATATGAGGAACCGACTTTTTTGGAATAAACAATTTATGCGTACGTTTTATAGAAGAGAAGATCTAAAAATCACATGACCAAAATGTAAACGCAGGTTGCGGAAAAAACGATATTCTAGCCACATTGCCTGAATGGCCCTGGGACATTATCACCAGGCAAATTGAGACAAACATACTTGGTTACATTTATTCAGAGGAAATCAACAATAAAAAATGTGGAAAATACGGTTTTATTCGGAAAACCGGTTGTAGGAAGCATTAACTGTCCTACCAAACGATAAACGTTTATTTTAATGTAAGCAAGGGTGGTCGGATGATCCCCGGGCCCATGTGTACTTTGGACCAATTATCGAAACCATAAGCTAAGAATTTCTTAACTGTGGATACAAATAGTGAATGCAGTAAGGAAGACTAGTTTAGATCACCGGATAGTCACTCTGAATAGCATAGCATCCAAGTCAGTAAGAATCACAATGTGTGTTTCCTAAGTGTAGCTACATTTCAATCATATCAAATAGTGTTCTTTACCATACATAAAAGCATTTAAAAACATGTCATCCATCAATAGTCAAATGAAACTGGATATTTAAAGCATCCTCACTTGTCACAATGCGATCAACCGTCGGAAGTTTTGTTTCCGATCGCGTCATTGATGTTATTTGAAATATTCTCTTAGATACTTAAAGCCTTGAGCAAAAAAGGAATCGTATAAACCAACGTAGTGAGCAATAAATGTGATGCGCTTCGAAGGTACCGCGAAACAATAATGACCTTTCTTTTTACAGGATCAAACGAACCTCTTTAATTTAATCAAAAATACTTAATGTCAAATGTGATAGTATGGAATATGTCAAGGAAGTTAATAAGAGAAACTTCGAGACGCTTGACTCAAATAGCACTGTTAGGTGGACTCAGACTGAAGGGTTCAAAAATTATTCTCTTGATGTAATTAATCTATTCTTGAAGTTCCTTGATCTGTAAAATCAGGTTAATATTCTGTGATGCGATATATTAGTAGAAATGTGCATGGTGTAGTGAATCTAAACCAAATATTAATATGAACTCAAAGGTAATTCATGTAACAACCTGTAAAATATTATCTTGTTTATGTGGTCCATGTTATTAAAAACGAACAGAGATGGTAAATTATGCATTATGCTTAATGAATCGGCAGTGAGGTGGACTGAGATATCTTCATATCATAACGTTTGCGATCCAGATGTCCACATCGAAAACCTTCAGATTCAGACTGAGTTACTAGTCTTCAGTTCAAATATTCCATTCCCAAGTATCCACTTGTAGTGGTATACTTTTACGAAGAAAACATGATGGCTGAAATATAAACATTTATTATTGTACTTAATTCTAGCAATAACTGTCATATTGTATACCTCTTGATTATCTGTACTATGGACTATCTCTCGCGCTCCAAGCGTGTCATTCCCATCCTCCTCTACCCACATCTCCTGCGTGGACGTTAGCCATTTGTACGCCCACTAGTCTCGATATTATTTCGATATCACGAGGCTAGCATTAAATATACTTCCTCCTCTAGAATCGCCCTTCTATCTGATTCTCAGAGTAACGTTATTATTATTTGTTATCCTGCGAAGTAGTATATTATTCGATTCACAATACTGGTGAGCCACAACTTCGAATACTCAGTAAATTCGGTGAGTCTGTAAGTTTTCTACCCGACTTTCCTACTGTTTTATCTGTTGCGTAATATATATCGTTATTTTCATATGTACATGCATTACAACTGCAGCAGCGTTCGAAAATGGTAGATCAACTTAAAAACGACGGTATTTTAGCAGACTCCCAGATTCAGGTTCTAAATTTTCGACCTGTAGTGTTTATTCCACACAACCTGAAGGTCTGGTTCGTGGCACTGACATCTCAATTTTAGGGTCCGCCACATCACGAACCAGTGTCAAATGTTCGCCTATGCCCTGGAGTTTTTACCTGGGGACCATGATGAGTACCGTATTACACGGGTATTTCATTCGCGTGATGACATTTTCCAAGCTTTACTCGAAAAATTTCCCCAGCTAACTAAACCACTCGGGGAGAATCTATCGGTGACTCATCACGTGGTTCACCACATAGTCACCCGCGGACCACCAGTCACTGCACGACCTCACCGACTGGCAATTTACTAACTACAGGTATTATTCGTCCTTCTCACAGTCCTTGGATCTCACTACTCCACAAGGTTGGCCAAAAGGATGGGATGAGTTGGCGATCATATGGCGACTACCGAGCATTAAACGTGGTAACACGCCTCGATAGCTATCCCGTCCCGCACATACACGACATCACGGCATTACTAAAAGGCACGACTATCAATTCTAAGATTGATCTGTTACAGGCATATCATCAGATTACAGTCTCTCGTAAAGATATCGAAAAAACTGCTATCACGACTCCTTTCGGTCTTTTTGAGTTCGTACGAATGCCATTTGAATTACGGAATTGTACTATCGACGGACGAGACTTCGATTTCACGTCCAGATCAGCAGACCACGCCACCTTTGACTTCGGATGAAATTGACGGCTCAAGAGGTACACAGTCTCGCGTTACGGTCACTGCGTACGCCTACCACCCAGACAACAACCGATACATAACAGCACACTATCCTCGAACTACATGTATGCTACACTTTTCTCTTTTTCTTACATTCTGTATCCTGAACCCATATGTACGACTACCACCCCGTTGGTACCTTCGACTTCAGTCAATCTTGGTGAAAGCTGACCTGATCACCCACGCTCTTGTCAATGCACACAGTCGATGTTTTGGTTTCGAATGTCTTTGTATACGTATGGTTTCGAACTTGGTCGTTCTGGTCGTTTCTGACTCCCTTGCCCAATCTGGTTCCGTCTTACGTCTGCAGTTTTTTCTGGTGCAAACCCCTACGAACGCAAACTTCAGACTCTGGATACGAGGCACGCTGGTATGTCATGTTGACCCGAGCACTAAACTTTGCGCGTTACTATTGGCACATTCCAACGTAAACGAATATCCTTGACAATTCAAGCCTCGTCGGTCGCTTCCTGTTCGTCAACCCTTCCGCCCTACAATCGCCTATTAGCCGACCACCCCCCCCTTCGCATGAAACCACTGCTTATCGAAAGTGTAAACTCTTTCTAGGGGGAGGACTAATGCAGTTGTATACGTTTACGAAGAAAATATGATGACTGAAATATAAACATTTATTATTGTACTTAATTCTGGCAATAATTGTCATATTATACACCTCTTGTTCATCTGTGCTAAAGACTATCTCTAGCGCGCCAAGCGTGTCTTTGCTCTTCGGTCTTCTGTCTTCGCTCGTTGTTAGCCGCTTGTGTACCCTAGTCTCGTGATTATTTCGATATCATGAGGCTAGCATTAAATATACTTCTTCCTCTAGAATCGTCTTTTATCTGATTACTAAAGTAACGGGATTAACATTTGTTATCCTGCGTAGTGGTATGTTTATTAGGTACAGCTGCATCACTTCGCAGCATTTCGAAGGATTTTGACAACTGCAGAACAGTCAACATTCAGCTCGACAGCACGTGTTTCCTGTGCGACTGCTGTTTTCGTATGTATAACCTTAACCTCGACAAATACTTCTGTCAATTTAAAAAATTAGAAGTCATTATGGTGATGGGGTCTGGAGGCATTTCTTTGAAGGCATATTCGCATACGATCTGGCACATGTAAGTCCCTGTAAATCGTCGGTCTAAAAAGTCCAAACGGTGGGATTTTATTGGATATTTTACAGGTGTTAGGGTGAAACCTGTATGTTATTTCGTCAGTAATGTTTGTACTGAGGACTTTAACCCAGTCAATGCTTCTAAGGTTTTTGTGGTAGTTTGTCCATCCAGCCTGACAACAGTGCCAACGAAATGTGCTGATCTTCCCGTTTTGTAGATGTGGTTTTTTTTACCAAGACTGCATATGTCGATATGATCATCACTAAGTGTGAACTGTTTCCTAACATATTCGGTACTAGGGATGAGGTTACTGTTGCGAACCGAATCCAAGTATTATGATACCAGGTAGAGCTGTTATCATATTGAGTTCAACGTCCAAGGGAGAAGCATTCAATTAATAACATTAAATGTGTCGTAGCCTTGGTTAAAATCAAAAGATTTCATGCATGTTGGAGTATCCACAAATAAGCACGAATAGTTCTGTCAAAGCTGGCGGTAAACACAACCGAAAATTAAAGATGCTGATTTTGAGGGTTTAAAAACAATCTGAAAAGAACCATTTTGTCTGTTTTACTCTGACACATCCCTTGACAGCGAGCCTGGACCAGTGTGGGCATATGTGAGACATCCCACACATAGTCTTCAACTTATTAGGTCCAAGTAAATTAGCATTCGAACCACCTGGATCAAAAATGTAGGTATCATTATATTGCTCGGTGTCCATTGAAATTCCTATTTTACCTTAAGTTCCAGATCCTGACTAACGGCATAGTAGGTATCGCGATCTTTTCAGAGAGCGACCTTGATTGAGCTTATTACCGAAAACGGCTATAATCAGTCCGTTCGGGTTATGTCAACTCCAGCAAATGCTCCTCGACTTAATTGATGCAGCTTAAACCTTCCGGCGATTCATCGACCAAGTCGGCAGAGATTCTTCAGGGGTATATACATATAAAGATGACATATTAGTAGCTAGTACTAGAGAAGAAGGATATCTACGAATAAGACAACTGTTTAAAAAACTTCAAGAGCAAGGCGTCACTGTTAACGTTGATAAATATGAACATGGAAAGGATTCCCAACAATCACTGGGTCATATGATAAATTCTCAAGGTATTACGCCAGTTCTGGCAGAAGTTGCAGCTATTCGTGGTTATCCTTTGCCTGAATCACAAAGAATTATGAAGATTCATCCCAAACTGTGCGACAATATTACAACTATTCCATCAATTAGCAGAACCGATACAGGCATTCGAGAACGCTGTGTGAAAGCCAAATAAGAAGACGATGTTAGAATAATGAAAGAGCGAAGCGACACTAGACCTGATGACTAACCCATCGAACATAACTATGAGAGCCGTATTACAGCAGTTGGTAAATGACACTCGGGAACAACCTCCGTTTTTCGCAAAGGGATTAAATCCTACTCAAACGAGGTAAAGTACGTTCGGAAAGGAATTCTTAGCGATTTACTTGGCAATAAAGCACTGTATTTATAGAGTGAATTGTGACAAACATCGCAATTTATAGTAACGGTCATCAGGACGAACAATATGCAAAGTTTAGGAATCTATTTTGATAGAACAGTGAGAGGACGTAATTGATCTGTTCTATCAAAATATATAATGGGATTAATTGTTTTGGGAATATATCGTGGATCGGTAATCCGCTTTTCCTCCACTTGCATTTGTAGAAGCCCTCGCCAAGAAAAGTCGGTGAATATAACTTCTCTGAAAATGATTTTATGCGCGTAGCCGTATGCGAATATATCTAGAGCGCAAGCAGACTATCCTTACCCTCGACCAAACTAGGATATTTGGGGGTTAGTGTTACGTCCAATTTCTTGCTCCTTGTTCCTTAGAAGTACGGTATGCCGATCTATTTGCAATTCACGATCCCAAATCAAAGCAAAACCAAATTCCAAAGTTAGGTACCAAAGTTTATTCTTAATTCACAATAATCGACCAAAATGTAGTTCGTTTATTACAAATAGACGAACAATGTCGTTCTTCAATTTTATAGATTCCTGGAGCAAAAAACTGCAAACGAACAACCAAGACAAACAGGAGTCCAAAAACGGCCGAAATAATAATTCAAACAGGTTCATAAGTTAAGTAAAACAAATATACCCAAAAAGCACAATGAAATTAATGATATTTATATAAAGGTTTCGATCAGCCAAATGTCTTCATTTCTCCCGAAACACTCCCGACCAAAAGAACCTTGGTTTTTTCACCGACCAAAATAGGTAACAAAAATCCAAGCATAAGCATCACAAGCAATCGACAAAATGCATTCAATATAGATTCTACACCGGCCCACAAAATCCCTCCATGCAAAAGACAAGCGCTTTCTGACACTTCAATTTAGGGTTCACTCTCATCCCCTAATCCACACCGGAAGAACGAGTAGGACTTACAGCAGTACGCCTACCCGCCCTCCAACATGGATATGACCTATCAAGCTAACTAGGTACATGTACCTTCCCAACAGGCCCTTGATTCCACTATCTATCGTAGCATGACCTAACGGTAGTATAAACCTTATCCAATTAACCCACATGAACATGTACAACACGTCGTAAAGCTGGTCATATTCTATCCGGAAATTACATTCCATATCATCAGGATGAGTCGTCAATCCACCACCACTTGCTCTGAACGGCAGATACAATGAAGTCCGTGATGCTGACTTATCAACAGAAGCTCTTGACCCATAGATAATATACAAGGGTGGGATTTCCAATTTTGATATTTCCTCGTCTTCCGATGACTTTAAGTGGCATAACATAGGAACAATATCTAACTCTCCATCTCCTGATACAGAGGAGGTTTGATCAGCATTCGTCATCGTCGGCAACTCATTTGTCACATCAGTGACATCCAGATTATTATCATCGTCATCATGATTCCGTTCTGTCAGACAAGTCGCGTCGTTTCTGGCTACACTGGAATCCGTAGAGTGAAACTCTTCCTTTGTTGTATAACTCATCTCGCTACATGAAAGAACAGCATTAGTGTCACAATTCGAAACCGATGAACTAACTTGTTGTTCTTCATGTTCCGTTTCAGAGACACAAGACATATGCACGTCAATAGCATCGTTATCATGCAACACTGTAGACTCACTGTTACCATCAGACGCTTCCTTCTCATCATCACTAGACTGACAGTCCACCGAAGTAGGAACACTCACAGTTACACAACCTTGTGTATCCTCAATCAACTTAGCATTCGCGGCAGGGTCCGATGACGTCAAAACACTAGAAGGTTTATTCGATGAAGTTGATCGACTAGTCACTACAGGTGGACTGCTCACACTTTCTGTCTCTTTACTATCGCTGTCACTACTAAGATTCTGATGACTACTATTTCCATTGCTAGTCATAGCATCCGAAAGAGAACGAAGTTTACGCTTCTTAATAATATTAGTATCATGTTGTTTCTTATGCTTCTTAGCTTGGGTAGCAGTATGTGAGCGTAACGTACGATCATTTCGACGACGATGAGTGTCTTTCAACTTCCATCTATCACTATTACTCGCAGGAGTATCATCAATGCTATTACCATTAGTAGCCGCAGCTGTACAAGCAGTAGTACACTTCTCATGACATCCAGTCGACTCATGCACAGTGGCTAACTCTACTCGATCAACATTACTTTCCTTACTAGGAATGCTTTTAACCTCATCTATCTTATTACTGTCGGTAGTGCTCATCCCGATACCTGTAGTACGAGTCAATGATGGTGGAGTGCGACAGGTGGACAATTCCGTGCTCGATTCCTCATGCTGCATATTCAACACAACAGCATGTCCATCAAACCTAGATGACTCCTCATCGCACCTAGGGTACCGAATGTTAGCCCCCTCAGTAGTGCCATCACTGTGGCTAACGCTATTGCCACCGACGTCTATATTCTCCACGCTCAAACATCCAATTTCGTCTTGATCCGAAGTACTCAAAGAAGCTACATTAGTAACAGCAACCGAAGAAACAGCACTACCTATAGTGATTTCACTCTCGTTAGGATCACGTTTATTATTCACATCAACCGTAGTATTCCAAAATAATCCCAATGTGCGTTCCGTAGAAAGTCTCTCAAAGTCAATCTCTTTTACAGCTTCTGCTCTCTCTTCTGGATGAATTGATTCGAGAACCTGTAAACAGTTACTTATCCACTTGGTAAGTCTGAACCCACTTTTTCTGAGGAGTAAACCAAGGGTTGTTGCAAGCTCGATTGCATCCTGCACATTATCAATTGAAGTTAAATAGTCGTCGACATAAAAACTCTTATCTACAACTTCCTGGACAACTTTATTCAATTCCTTTCCGAATATATCTACCGTCTTCCCAAGAGCGAAATTAGCGGCTAATGCTACGTTGCATAATCTGAATCGTAGAAGTAAACCAATAAAACTATTTACAGTACTTGGTCCTCTCAAAAGCTGATCATTAACAGAACAATCTTGATAGACAGCTGCACAATCAAAAACAATTCTTAATTTTCCAGGCTTTTTAGGGTTGATAACAGGATGATGAGGAATATACCAACAAACAGCATCACGGTCGAATTCCTCCTTACTAGCTTCAATGATGTAGCCTTTACTTAAATGTTTACTCATTACAAGTTGATATTTCTCTAGAAGACTATTATCCTTCATAAACCTCTTCCTTAAACACTCCAGTCTACGTTCAGCTGCTTCCAAATTATTCGGTAGCCTTGGCTTATCATACTTCCAGGGTAGACCAACTTGGAAATAGCCACCCTGCAGTCTAAAGGAACTATTAACTATTTCTAGAGCTCTTTTATCTTCGACAGAATATTCATTACGAAACCCATCTGCATGCTCGAACTCATGATTATATAATCTTTCTATATCTCGCAAAATATCATTAGTAGGACAATGACACCACTGAACTTGATGTAAAGACCTCGATGCTTCTTTAGGACCTAAAATCATCCAACCGAGATAAGTACGCACACCAAACGGATGCTTCCTGTCTCCCAGGCGTTGTTCAGGGACCCAATGTGCATCTGGAGCATCACACCCAATCAATATTCTTACAAGATTACTTTGCAACTTCGGTAGGGTTACGTCCTTTATACAGATGAATTTTCTACCCTAGCAGTTCACTTTGATTCCAGTAGGTGTAGGTTGAACGCGCTATCCCTCGATCCAATATCAAAACACAACAATTCTAGGAGAAAGCGGTCTATTTTTATAATAAAATGGAAATACAAACAGTTACCTGACTATTAATACACCTTCCAAGTCCAAATTACCCTGATGGGTATCCGAATCCAAAAGAATAAGTGATACTAGTACTAACTGCCACGGTATCAAATCCAAATATGGCTGTAGCCATATTAAATATCAAATTTAAACAACATGTGTACAGTTCAGAAGCAAACATAAAAACTTCAATATAAGTACGAAATATAGAAATAATAACAATATACAATGATAAAATCTCAAAATGGAGTCAAATGGAGTACCAAAATGTCAACAGAAAAAGTCCGTCATGTCATAGCAAAAATATATAAACATGGAGGGATTTTCCAAAAAACAAAACATTCAAAAAAGATTCTACACTTTAAATGTTTCCACTTTCTCTACTGGAGTTCGGTTAAAGGTTCTGCATATCTGATCGGAATTTTCTCAGTCATATAGGCCTTGTTGATCTTTATAGAACCCCGTTCATCTAATGAAAATACCTCTAAATCTACTTCCAGATATTCACAAGTAGAAGTTCCATTCACAGTTAATGAAGAGTTGCGAGATAGTTGGCATGCAGGCTTTAAAGCTAAGCTACCACTGCTGCCACTTACGCTAACACTATTGATGTTGCTGTGACTACTTGAACTAGTATACAACCGTCCATCCGTTGACTGTAAACAAACATCAGCAGGACGCGCTAAGCTGCTATTATCTTCCGCTTCAATGTCATGATGCTCCATAGAACTAGATATAGTAGCTGTGTCACTATTTACGCTTGTTATCCAAGGATCAACTCTAGGTCGTCTCAAATAATTTACCCTACGTAAAGGGTTCCGAACATAAGTTTTATTCCATACAGCCAAACCTGTTTTGTCCTCATTCATATTCACTGTACTCACTAACCTCTGTTTGCTCGAATCCAAATAACCGTTCCTTGCTTTTCGAGCAGTTAAGAAGCTTTTACAATCACACACCTCGGATCCATCTTGATGCCTACTCTTTTTGCCTTTTTCTTTCTTTTACATACTCAAAAAAGCCATCTTATCGGCTACACAAACTGGCTTCTCAGTAGGATACGCATCAAGTGGTTTTAAACCATCGTGGTCACATACTCGTTCTTCAAGAGGGTATACCTTTCTGATACAATTAACAACTCTCTTAAATTCCGGGTGTGAGGTAGGTGTAAACGCATTTCAAGAATTCTCATGTCTCGCACGCAGATGAATAGTCACTTCCATATCGTTTTCCATGACCTTACATTCTAATTCGGCCATTTCAACCTCCTCTTGAAGTTCTAACATTTTAAGCTGTCATTCTAACTCAAGTATCGTTTCCAAATTCTTATTCCTTAGTAATGCCCTTTCTAACCTCAATCTAAAAGTACTAAACTGAGATGAAGACTTACTATTAACACTAATATCATCACGTTTATCATTATTAAAGTCAGACATACCACAATCAGCTTTAGAAATTTTACCATCTGTTTCGTCATTCTCCTTCAGCCTTTTGCTTCTAGTTTCCATTGTATGCTTTTGTTCGAAGTCGAGTACCAAGCAAATGTAAATTAATCCAAACGTATTCGACCAATAATAAAAAAATTTTGAGGCAAAATATCTTGAAGCCAAAATGTCTCGAGGTATTCAATGTACGACAAAAGAAATAAAATCGAAGAACTTTTGTTACGTCCAATTTTTTGCTCCTTGTTCCTTAGAAGTACGGTATGCCGATCTATTTGCAATTCACGATCCCAAATCAAAGCAAAACCAAATTCCAAAGTTAGGTACCAAAGTTTATTCTTAATTCACAATAATCGACCAAAATGTAGTTCGTTTATTACAAATAGACGAACAATGTCGTTCTTCAATTTTATAGATTCCTGGAGCAAAAAACTGCAAACGAACAACCAAGACAAACAGGAGTCCAAAAACGGCCGAAATAATAATTCAAACAGGTTCATAAGTTAAGTAAAACAAATATACCCAAAAAGCACAATGAAATTAATGATATTTATATAAAGGTTTCGATCAGCCAAATGTCTTCATTTCTCCGGTAACATTAGTGTTTCATAACCTTATACTTGAGAACACTGTAGCTTAATGCCTGATGTACACATCTGGACTAATTTACTCCATTGTTATTAGATGGAATAAGAAGCTGCATTTATCGAGCATTGTCAAACGGAGTATTGACCATATTTGTTTGCGAAACATTGGCAGCATCGGTTGTTCTGACTAAACTTATCAGATTAAATCAACTCACAATGCAGCATACTTTACTCTTTTTACCGTTACCATTAACCATATGGACTACATGTATGCAACAAATTTGAAGTAGATACTATGTAGCTGCTACTTCGTGAATCTTTTTGCAGTTGGTCAATTTACTAATACTTTCCAGATATCAATGATGCATTTTGCGTTGTGTTACATATTACACTTGTTGTGAGCGAATCCTTATACCTTATTGATTCCCGTCATTATTCATAGCAAAACAAAATAAGTCCATGGTTTAAGGTTTTATTGAAGTAGAACGTTGGCATTACATGGGGAGCAGCAAATAGATAAAGATGGCAGCAACGCAAAGAGAACGTTGCGCGCGCAAGAAGTCGTAGCAGTGTTTTTGGTATAGTTAAACAAAAGATGTACAATAATGTTTATTTTTCAAAAATCCTATTTTCTTCGTAGAAGCGTTCCACTACATACTATTGAATAAAAATTTACCGGTAATTATTCTTTAGTGGCCAGAGACTTGACTCCAGTTTGGACAAATGATCGTTTATGCAATGAAATAAATCTTCCTATCCATTTCCGTATAACATGCTGAGGCAAACCACAATTGTGCGACAGTGGTAATAGGAAGGTAAATACGGTTTTGTGGATGAATTTATTTCATGCATTCATTTAAGTAGACAGACATAAGCATGAAGAGCGTATGAGCAGAGCAAAGCAAATCGAATAAGGGAAGGCAAGTAAGCCAACTCTCCTGAGTTGAAGCATGACTAAGTAGTATGGATAGTCAGACAATAAATAATACGCTGAAAGTATAAGCATGCACACACACACACAATCAAATATACAGAAGTCGATACTGTTATCAAATTATTACAAATACAAAAATACTATTTGATCGAATAATTTAAACGACTAATTATTCAAGTGAGTATAATGAATAAATGATGAGGTGCTACCATTCTCTTATCTCTTACTACTTACCTGTTGTAATCGTGCTTGTGGGTATGATAAATTCATGACAAGATTTGACTTAGTAAGTTGACTTTCCATAATTACTGACATTTCGCTTAGCTTATGAAATTAGTCAGGAACCGAAAGTTTGCTGTGTAGTTGGTAGCCCAAATAAAAAAGTATGTTGATCACGTTTGTATCGACTAAGAGAGAGTCTGATATTAGTTTCAGATGACCACTTGGTGGTAGTCAATGTGAAATTGAAGCGAAAAAGGCACCGGACAACTGGAGAAATAGCATTACAAAAGTTTACTATTTATTTATCTAACATATCATTATTTCTATTCTGATTCACTTAATATCTGTCACTTGTACAGCGTCCTAAGAATCCTGCATTCAATATGATTTTGCAATGCAGTAAAGCCGAACCAATTACGATTCAAATGGTAACTTTCAGTCAAGATACTTACAAATCATTTGAGCAAATTTACTGAGAATATCTAAGCAATGAGAATTGACAAATTAACAAGGTGCATAAGAATTCACAAGTTGTTATGACAAAGAATAAATATGACGGTTGACTTGGATTGTTGATAGACGAAAGTTTCAAGCAAATCATGTTATTTATTATTAGTTGGTACTCTTGGGTTGTATTGAGTTAATCAGACAGTCTACAGATAGTAGTGGTTATTCCGTATTTCTCTGATTTGATCCTTTTTGGCCAGCAAAGACTTTGAGGTCAATGTTGTAATTCATCATCTGGAAAATTATTTATGACTTTAGAAATTTGTTAGCAAAGCAGAAGAAATACACTTTATGTTGACTTGTTTTTTGGAAGAGAAATACTCTTGATTAAACACTTAAATTATCTCATTGACTAATAGGCGGTATAAATAAATACCTTAAGGTCATTTTAACACGGCTAAAGATTGATGACGATGAAGTGATATTTTGTCAGCGTTGAGAATACAAAAACTTATCATCAGTTGTTTGTATAATTATCACTCAAATATTAATATAGGACTATTACAACAAGATAACATGAATCATGTCGGTTTTTAGTAAAATCACACTAGTATATCAACTGAAAAGGGTGATGCATGATCGGTTGGAATTTATTTATTGATTACAACATAACTTATAAATTATTTTTGTGATAGAATGTCGGTATCTAGAAAACAGTTTACTTTCATTGAATGACATATAAAACATTGAGACGAAATCTACATTGATTAATAAACAGGAGTTTGATGGATGTAATCAATCGAATAGGTCTGGTCCAAGTTTAGACTCAAAACAGATGTCACGCTGATTCGAAATCTATGTAGGTGTTAGAGACTTTACCGGTAAGAATATCAAGTTAATCTGTTAGTTTGTGTTTTCCGTTTGGTTTGTAAGTGTGGAGTCATATGACTAGATGATCAACGTGCAACAATCATGCAAACTGTATCGTTGAAACTGATTGTTATGTTTACATGCTTATTCAAAATATTCATTCATGCATGAAAAATCCAGTCAACTAAAATAGCATACAACAACAACTGACAACACTATGATAGTAGTAATTAATTACACATTACGAATAAATTATTTTATTCACATACAAACTAAATATAGAGGAATATGAAAAGAATTGTTGTAAAAACAACAAGTGAGTGAAGAATGTATGTGAATAATAAAAAGAAAATACAAGATAACGAAGAGAAATAAAAAAAACAAATTTGGCGCGTACAACATGTATGAAAAAAATAAACAAATTTTTCCCATACATACTGATCATTCAATATTCAATGCAACAAATAGTGTGATGATACGTGCAAAAATGCAAGGAAAATCGAATTAAAACTCTTCTATACTTAAATGTAAAAAGGCCACTTTACTGCTAACATCATATCGATTAATACGGGAACTTGATAAACAGCCACTATAAATATTATGTACACACATATTAGATCATATAACAGATGCTAAAATTTATAATAAAATACATAATTAGAGAGAATACATAGATAATTAATTAATAATTATTCACTTAGATAAATGATAATAACAATTAGGAATGATTTTTTTGTACACACTAATTCGATTCTATCATAATAAGTCACATTACGGAAGGATGTCAGTTGGAACAAAACCCATTGAAAATCAATGAGCGTTAGACATTTTTAATATCTATCTAGTTTGATTGACAATTTTCATGTGGGGCTTACTAACCACTCCATATGAAATCCAACACAGTAGCGATGGATTCAACTGCAGTCACAATATATTTAGACTACTTCTGATTCCATAGTTAACAGTTCATTTATCCAAATTGTTACATAGCGTAAAAAATATCCAATGCAATCGGTAGATAACTATTTCATCAGTGAATCGGCTGAATGAAGTTAGAGGCGTTGAATCGGACTCAGTGATAACCTTTCCTTACATGACGCCTGAAAGTTGTTGGTCCAATCTGTTGTGGAGTGACGGGTGTATAGTGTATTTCCCTACGACTGCTCGCACGTTGAAACCAAACATACGTACCGACTCACTTCAGGTTTCATAAAATCAGTTATTTTTAAGTGATTCGCATAATCCTTCAGAGTTTATAGGTGCGATTTGCAAAATCTGATCACAATTTCAGCAGACCTTTATTTGAATTTGTTAATGGAATCTATTTGTCTTCAATATATATTTACGTCAAATCTAGCTGACGATAGTCAATGTAATTCAAATGGTTTGCTTATCATCACTCACACTGCAGACTGGTTGCCATTTAAACCTACCAATTGTGTTGTTGATATTTTAACGTAGGTTGAATAACAGATGTGCTTGCTATAAATTGCTAAAATTAATTCTATTGATGTTTGATTGCTACATTTCAGAAATCCGTTCATCAAATATCAGTGGACTACTGAGTGACTTTTCTGTCACTTGGTCTAAGAAGTTCCTTTTGTATGTGGTTATCTCAGCAGTGAATATGAAGCAACTACTGTGTGGTGCTTGAATTAACTAGTGACTTCTTGTTGTTGCTGAATGCTTGATTTCGAACTCTAAATACAGTACATTCGTTCGTGCTTATCCCGTAGTTGTTGATTCGCATACTTCTAATCATCATATACTGTTCAGTAGTGAAGTCGAAATTTAACCAGCTGACTGAAAGAGAAAATCACATCCCACATGCTTCGGTCTCAGCAGCCTATCAGTCTCTCTTAGTTCTAACAGTCCGACTAAATACCACGTAAATAAACCGGTGTCTGATAAACCAGTTACAAGTTATACATACCACGTCTTTATTTTTCAATCGTTCGCCACATATTTTCCAAAATATCTGTGAATAAATTTAAAAATTATTCATGAAAAACATACAGCTTATGCAAAACATTGAACAGGCCAAATGCCATTTTTTAAGTCGGAGTTTGTTATCTCGAAAATACTATCTAAGTGATTATTCACGTTAGTTTTTTAAGACACTATATGTGAAACAACATAACATCAAACTGTTATGAATAATTCAGTCAGTCAGCCATAATGTAGAACTTATGACGTACGTACATCAATTTAAGTCATCCTACCAATCTCAAGTGGTAGAGGTAATTGAAGTATTAGCGTTAATGGAGAAGATTAGGGTTCGAAAGTATAATTCAAGAAGTATAATCCATTGAAATAAACTTAGAAAGAGATAGATAATGGTGATAAGGAATTGAGAAGATTAGAATTCCATAGAACACAAAGAGTGGATGCACATACGCTATCGCAAACGATTTGAAGCCATGTCATTCAAGGTCTCTAACCATAGGTTACTATTGTCTCGCTTACGTCAACCAGTTAGTCTACACCTACCAACATGGCTCTGTCCACTTGTCAATGACTTCGTGGCATTTCGCCATGTTTTGGTTCGGCCATCCCTATCTTTCTTAAAGCCTACACCTACATTACAAAGCACCGCTTGTCGATGAATTTGGTAGTTGGACATAATACGTAACATATGTCCCAACCACTTTAACTAATGCAGTTTCACTACTTAATCGATTGGCCTGTCATCCTTGTGCATAATTTGAATTTAATCCTTATCAATCACAATACAGTAGAGTTGGTGAATGAATGTTCGAACGAAGAATTAATTACTCTACCGCAAAATAAACTATCGATTGATTAACTGAGAGAAGAAATTCAAAATGTGCCACACATAAATCACTATAACAATTACAACATTGTCGTCAATAGTGAAAACATCCATCTATTTTTGCATACATAGTATAACGATATATTATCGTCAATTTTAAAGATGTCTAGAAAAAAGAAAAGAAATTTCATCAATAAAACTAATGATTTACTAGTGTTGAGAAAACTAAAGCAAACACATGCACATAGACACACTAATTACACGTATAATAAATACTAAGGATCAGAATGAAATCTTCAATTAGGCTGATGTAATGGATGCTACTCATACGGCATACAAGTAGTATGCAGCAAAGTGTCGCCTAGAAACTACTATCAAAGGGGAGTGACTGAAAATCAATATTCATAGAATGGAGTGATCAGAGTGCATTGAAGGCTGAAAGAGATATGAGATAAGTAAGCCAATAACCTGCTTGTATTGCAAATGGATGTTTGAAAATTATGTATATAGGTATTTGGTAAATAAACTTTGTTTTTTTCCCAAATATACTAATATATCATCTAGTCTTGATCCTTTCGTCAGTTATATTAGTAAATTACAATATGTCAACATATACCAAATCAGGTAACTATCAAATGATGCTAAATTGAAAAACATCTGGAACTCAAAACTACTATCAACCAACATACCAAAGTCAAAATTCTCAATACAAATGTCTAGACAGTTCAACTGTAAGGAGCGGAAACGTGGAGGACTAGGAAAGCTATCATCTTTAAGAGACAAGTGTTTATTAACAGTTGTCTACGCAAAATACTTCGGATCCACTAGCAAGAAGCCTTCAACAAAAACCTACTGTGGGAGAGAACAAATCAGATTCCGGTGGAAAGAGAAATTAGGAAGCGCCGGAAGTGAATAAGACATATATTGAGGAAAGCACCTAACTGTGTCACAAGACAAGCCCCAACTGGAATCCTCAAGGTTCAAGGAAAACAAGATGACCAAAGAACACAATACGCTGGGAAATGGAAACAGACAAGAAAAGAATGAACAGCAATTGGGTGGCAGACTAAAAGAAGGCCCAGCACAGAGTAGGTTAGAGAATGCTGGTCGGCCGCCTATGCTCCATTCGGGATAACGTGTGTAAGTAAGTAAGTAAGTAAGTTAGTAAATTATTTGAACTAAAACCGTAAGTGAGAAATTCAAAAACAAAGTTTAGTTTGTCAAACGATATAAGTAGAAAAAGTATTGAAAAATCCAGGACTTTTGCCCACTGAAGTATGTAACCATAAGAAGGAAAAAGTATCCAGAAGAATTATCGATGGACTCATATTAAATACAGTAGAAGAACATACAATAATATTATTGACTTATAACTTCATAGAAATCATTCAATCAATGTCATTTTAACACACACTTACACAAAATGGTTTCCAAATGCATTAAATAAAAACAAATGAAATGCAATATGTTAAGAGGATGAAAGCGATGATTAGTTTGGAAATATCTAAATAAGTAAATAACAAAGTGAAAAAGAATTGACCAGTAAGTATTTCGGTTGATTTATTCAACTATTCACTTTACCAATCGAAGTAGAAAACACTGATTGCATTATATAATAAGATTTATCAGCTGAATTTATTTTCCAAACTCTACCACAATCACAAACAAACACAAACATCTTTACAATATTGAGCTGTGTGAAAAATAGTAACAAATGAATATGTGGGGAGAAATAGCGTCATTTTACTCGCATTACGAAACCGACAATCAATGCCGTAACTCGTGTAGTTCAACCGGCTCGGATGAAAAGTTTTTGTTTGCCGATGTTATTGAATAACTGTAAAGCTTCACTGAAATCGTAAGTACATTGAAGGTTACAAGCTTTGCTGATAAACCAAACTAGGACAGAAAATATATCAAGTGATTCATGGTTTTCTTTAGTTTAACAGCTGACACCAAACCATCAGAATGTAAGTGAATCTGTTTTCAACTATTCTGGATTCCACTTAATCCCGTATGTTTCTTAGACTAATTCTGTAGGATAAAATTCACTTAACAAAATGATATTAGAAACTTGATACGAAATGTTTCTGGAATAGACACTAGAACCAGAAGATCAGCAGTGTGAGATCCACAAAAATATACGACATGTATTACATTGTGTAGTTTACAAATTTATAAATCAATCAATCGTTGTGTGAATGGTTAAGTATGTTTACGTTGTCCAGATAGTTAATCGACAAACATAGAATTCTGTCGTCTAATATAAGAACTTTCGATCATTAAAATGGAAGAAAAGAATGGAGACTATTCGATGAAATGCTATCATATGATGTGTCTACATTAGAGACCGAATCATTGACATAATCTGTAAAATGGCTTGAAATCAAAGAAAGCACCATTAGCCAGAAGAATGAATGTTCTATGTAATAAACGATGTGCTTATACACACAGTATTAACTACATAATAAACACCACAGAATACCACAAACGATTGGACGAGATCAGTTAGTTGGTCATTCACTTTCCAGTCCATTAAAATCTTATTATTATGACTAATTCTTTGATATTGTATCGATTTTCATTGAAAAAAATCCAATTAATTAATCAGATAGATAATTACAAAATAATGAATAGGATTAAAATACACGATGTAATTGATCTTTTTATATGACTTTTGTCAATTTGCGTCATTTATGGCGTAGGTGAGATATATCCGTTTGCTAACCAAAGGACGAGTGTACTACGCAGTAGTTCGCTACATCCTACTTTATGGATGTGAAACATGGCCAGTTAGAGTAGAAGATATACGTAGGTTACTGGTATTCCATCATAGATGTCTTCGAAGCATTGCTCGTTTATCCTGGGACAACCGAGTAAGCAATGCTGTTATTAGGAAACGAATGCTAGGTAAGGATGGCAAGTCAATGGATGAAGTACTGAAACTTCATCAGTTAAGGTGGTTGGGACATGTGTGTTAATAGGATGGAAAAAAGAAGAGAAGAGTGGTGGCTTATGAAAACTTAGAATTTTAAGAGAAACAATCATATTGTTTTCCTATCGGTTATACATTCTTAGTTAAAAAAGGTTTGTAACCTTTTAGATTGTTTGAAAAGTTTGAAGCAATCAATCATCGTCTGAAAATTGTTGAAAATACCCAACTTCAAATGACGTTACTATGCCTGATGTATTCACGTAATGGTTGGTGTATTAGATGTTGTGAGTTCGAAACGTTGTATGAAGAGGAAGCGTAGTAAACAGCTTTCGTTATCAATACTTTTTCTCAGTAATAAAATGTTGGTCACATATCAATGAACTTACGTGACTCATCATGAACTACATTATTACGGTCACTTTGATGTATAGACTCCTTAGATTCAGATTCGGTGAAATCTTTTCCGTTGAGCAAACGATTTTCCTCATCTATCTGTGACTCAATATCCTCAAAATCGTCTTCTGGATTTTCTTCTGGATCAGTATGTGAATCACCAGAATGTGCAGAACTTTTGCTTAGTTCGGGTTTTTCAAGATTGTCGATTTCAGCATCTGTTTCCTCTTGGAAGTAAGGTTCAGGTGTTATCGGTTTATTTGCTGTAGTTTCCAGTGACAAAGATTTAGCTAACTGCTCAGTAGAATTTGAAAGTTTGCTAGTTAGCATTTCTTTGGAATTAACTGTGACGTTTGATTTTGTAAGGTTTGACTATGAAAACTTATTTTAACTGTTTTATAACCTACTTGAGGTGTTACATAAACGAGTACGGAAACGTATTCCAATGTATGAACATTGGATTCATGGATCGGTGACTAACACGATGATTACTAAATAAAGTTTGAAAGTTACTTACATTTACAAGAATTTTAGTAGTTTTTTTTAAACCATTTGAAGAATCATTGAACAGTTTCTCAGATTCATCTTTTAGAGCACATATGTAGTGGAATAGTACCCAAGTTAGTTTGATTGCCAAACAATACTTCATTATTATTAGGGAAAACAAATGATTATTTCACACAACTATTTATTTTATGACACAAAAAGACGGGAATCAGTTAGAAAGAAAACTAAATAGATGAGCATTAGGAATGAGTTACTTAAATCTTGATTCTTCTTCAATATACTGTGCACAATAAAGAGGCTTTAGAGGTAGCTTTTTTATAAGTACTTCGATAACACAAAGTGTTGAATAAATGCGAACAATCGTACAAGGCACATGAATAATACGGATGTAAAATTTTCAAAGTACATGTTTACGCAGTCTGAATTAATCCATACCTTAGTGTGAAGGTTTGTTAAACCTCTTAAATGCGGAAGTATGAAGAACAGGATTTGAGTCTCCACCCATATGAATGAAAGCCACGCAATATAACTGCCAGATCAACTCCCTAGATCAATTGCCCTAAAATAAGCGCACATGAAACAGAGTTCGGAATTCAGTAATAAAAGGGTTGCCTAATATTCCACTGGTATTTAGCATACAGATTTCCAAGATGAAGCAATCATGATAAAACCTTTTTCTCATAACCCGAAGCAAATATTCTACTTATGTGGCTTGTGTTGAAATGCATGTGGAAGGCAAACTTTGGGGAAAAAGGTTGGCTTTGGACCTGAATGTCAGTTTGTTATCCAAACGTTTGCCCTTTGTCAGGTCCTGGGACAGACACGTATGAAACAAATTCCAACCATAGTTGTATTTCTTGACATTACGTCGATATTCGACCCCATAGACCAACAGATTTTAAAAATGCACCGAAGTACTTCAAACTAATACTGATTCTCTAATTAAGCACTGCTAGTCAAGTCAGAGCATATGACTCGGAATTAGTAACAGCAAGTACTGTTTAGCAGGTTTGTTCACACTCTTCATTATTTTAAACAACACTATTTTAAAGATAACCTTCTAACGGTTTTACTTTTAAAGGATTAATTTATTATCGGATGACTTACTTGCCGACTTATAATGCGCAGACAAAAAGAGCCCTATTTTCTGCGAACACAAAATGCCGGCTTCTGATCGTCATGAACAATATTTCAAGTCAGTTTAGAATGCGTTTCTCACCTTAGATGTACGGTTTTGCTTCAGGAATGGTTTTTGACCATTCCTAAACTAATGATTGGGGGGTGAAATAAGTGAGCTGGTCGACCACTTAGCTTATTTGGAGGCTTTCATTAGTCATGATGAGTGGATATCCGACGAAGTCGGAAGGCTCAGTTGTCTTTTGCCAGCTTACATCACTTGCGGAATAGGCAAGATTCCTGTCTGCCAACTAAAGAACAAATATATGTGACCTTGTATGGTCAACGATGGTGGGTTTGCTCTGACTCTCGAAACGGTCTTACATAGACACGTGTGTAACCGCTACCAAAGAAGTCCTAATCAGACTTTTCGTGGCAGGGTTTTTTTGCAAAAGTGATGACTAAAGGTGAATTTCCAACGCTTTGATTAGATGAGTTGGTAAGAAGGATTCGGCAAGTGATTTTGTAAAACTCTGATTCCAAACAAATGGTGGACATGGACTCCAGAAACTTGATCAAACAGATGGCGTATGAACCTTTTACTGACCACCGAATAACATATGATTGGATATCCTGACGTTGCTCCACTGACTATGAATCAGACTTTTCAGTCAAAAGTTGGAGAGTGACATCTTATAAAACCAATTGCTTTGGTTTAAGCACCCGGACAGCAAGATTCACAAATTCAATAACTTGTATGATGCATAAATATTTAGGTGCCGATTTTCAGCAATGTTTATGCATTTTATAAAATAAATAAAGTTGATGAAAGAAATTAGAACCACAGTAGAAACAATGGGAAAACTGAACGAAAACACAAAAGTAAATCAGATTGAAGGCAGTTGCATAGACGAATTAATACGACTGTAAAATTTAGATCCTAGGTACCTATCTATTGAAGATCAAGAAGGTTTAATGGCAATACCGAATACCTGAAACCTAGTATTCACATTTTAAACTCACTTAACGTAGCAAATTTAGTGACTGGTTGCACTTTAATGATCAGTAGTTGGTAATATTTATTTTAACAGTTTTCAATTCAATGAAAGACACTTCAAACCAACAGCTACACAAACCAACGCCGCACTAATTTAGTAAGTATTTAACACAAACCAATCGATTTCATGCTTATTTCATCGAATTGCAACCGTTTTATACTACTGCTAATGTGTAGTGTACTTATTTGAGTAATTCGGGTTGGAATATTCATAGTAAATTATAAGCAATGAGTCTACACATAGCTGCTAAACATTCCCTTGACGCTTTCTACAGAGAGTGATCCTGTCACATCGACTGACGAAGATTTTATAAGTTTCACAGACTTCAGTCAAGAAAAATCAGATTAGGGCTGTATCCAATTTTCGCCGAATAACCAGTGGATCTATGAGATGAAGTTCACCAAGACTGTTCAGCTGAGATATCCTGGACAATTCAGTATACACGATAGCTGCTTTAACATGATAGGGTTCAGGTGCATCAATTCATGTAAACCGACTCAACCGTATGACTTTTTGATATCCAACATCTATCTTTGCACTGGCTTTTCGTCCTTTTGGTAGTGTCCCGCGTGTGTTGTAATGTCTTATGAATAATAATCCAGTCACCAGACTGTATTAAGTCCAATCAGTCGTAGGTTATTATTAAGTGTTTATGTTTGACGATTTGAGTGAGTGAGCTTGTCTCGGTACAGCAGGAGTATTGGATGATAGCATTTATCACACTACCAGGCCAGAAGTCAGTTAGTAGCAATGTAGGTAAGAATAAGAAGAAAATTCCAATGCTAATGAGGAGAGGAAAATTTCAGAACTAAATAGATAAATTAAGGAAGTAATTTATTGGTAGTGAAGATATAGGGAGAGAACCCAAATTTAAGTAGAAATATGGAAACAGATATCCAGTATATGACATATTTTTCATGACCTAGTTTAAAAACGGTTGATTTATTTGTGATCGATTCTTGCTCATTCAGTACGGTTCCGGGTGTTTGGTAGAGTCCAATGAATGGAGGTCTACTCACTCGACTGTCTAGTTCTAGTAATTTGGCAGATGTTTGTGAGCTTTTATGTCCCGTGATTTGAATGAAAACGTTTGTTTCAGAGCTGTAGCATTTCAAAATGCAGAGAGTGATCACATTACCAGGCCGGATGTCAGTAAGCTGAAATGTAGAAAGTAATGGTGAGAAAATCCTAATGCGAGTAATACTTCAGAGCTAGGTAAATAAGTGGATAAATAAGTCAATTGATTGATAGTGAAGGGCTGACGAGAGGACCGAAGTGCAGGCGAGGGAAAGGAACAGAGATTATGGACAAGACGGATTAAGTTAGTGATCTGAGGAGATGGCAATAATAACAACTAGGATATCTAAATGCATGCATCAGGTACAGCTGGTCCACGAGGAAGACGATAAACCGTAACTGAGTAGATGCATGTCAAGTCTCTTCTCAAAGCTGTCCACCGAAGGGGCTGTGGCCACATTGGCTGGGAGAGAATTACAAGGTTCAAAAACTTTGAATGAGAAAAAGTATGCAGGAACCTGAGTTTAGCTCATTGACGAGCAATATTTCGAAGATTACCTTGAGAGAAGAGGTTATGATGCATCGGTAAGATGCTCACACTTCGGTGGATAATTTAATATACTGACACCTACACCTCCCCATCAAAAAGTACATTCATACAAAACGCCAACTTACCAAATATTCAAGTTACAGAATAACTACTTAAATTTTCGCGAGGTATTCACTAAGTGATCAGTAGATAAAAACACGCTCATTTTCAATATCTCCAATATCTAACGTTTTTTTCACGATCTAGTATAAACCATTGGATTACTTTGCGTTCTATCCTTCTTATTTTGGTACGATTGCAGGTATTTGGTAGCGTCCAACGGATAGCAGTCTAAACCCTCGTCTGCACAAATTCTACTCATTTGGCAGTTATTTATGGATCTATATGTCTCGTGATTTAAATGAGCGTTTCAGAACAATAGCGTTTCTAGATACCAGAAGCTATCACATTACCAGGTCGGAGGTCAGTCAGTTGCAATGTGGAGAAAAAAGAGAAAATTCTAAAGCGAATAAGAAGAATACTTCAGAACTGGGTAAATAAGTGGATAAAAAGTAAATTAGTTGGTAGTGAAGATTGCACAAGAGGACTGGAGTATAAACAAGGGAAACAAATAGAGATAATTAAGCGGATAGATTGAGTTAGTGGTGTGAGGAGATGGCAATAATAACAACTAGCATGACTCAAGACATGCATCAGGCACAGCTTTTCCACGAGGGATACAATAATCCGTATGTGAGCACATGTATATCAAGTCTCTTTTTAAGGCTGTCCACTGAGGAAGCCGTAATTCCCTCAACTGGGAGACGTTAATGCGAAATACTGTTAGCTTCTTAGGATAAAAAGTACGATATTTTACCATAAAATTTTCATCTCGATCGCACTCGATCAGTGATTTATGTCTCTTTTAGGGAGAAGGTACTTTGTGAACTTCAAGGTGCGGGTGTTTCTATGTCTTAAACACAGTTAGGAATGATAGCACCAAGCACAAGGCGTTCATCACGCTTTCAAGAAACATCAGGCGGCGGACTTCAATTGATAGTGTAAGTCGTTTGCTTCATGGGGAGCAAAATATTTACAACGTGCCACTTCTACTGGTTTAGACTCAAACCGTTCATTACTGCTTATTCCTAAATAGATGATACGTCCTTTTGAAGGTCAACTGAATCCCCTTCGCTCTTTATGAATCTCCAGAATTTGTTTCGTCTGCATAAACTAATGTCACTGAGCTACGTTTGTCTAACAGGTCATTAATGAATAGTAGGGAGAGTACAAGACCTAAAATATTCTGCTGTGAAACGCCTGGTGTTGGGACTCACCAGCTCACATAAACTCTATTCAACTTGGTGCGAAACTTTCTATGTTTAAGGCAGTTTCTTAGCTAATGTAGAAGTGGGTCAGTGAAGCCTATTTTCGTAATTGGGAGTGCGTGGGGTACGGTGTGGAAACCCGAGTTGAGCTTTATGGAGGATTTTGTTCTTGCCCGTATACTCATTTGTCCACCAGCCCTCCCATTATATTTGATAGCATCAATAGTATTGCGAATGACCTGTAACAGTCAGAGTCCTTCATTTCTCCCCATTGAAAAATTAGAGAGAAAGTAGTCTATTTTTATTCACCCGGAAGTTAATGTGATTTCAGTAGATGCCTGAACAGAACGCAAACCGGTGAACTGAGGGGTTCTGCACACATTTTCAAGACTATGGACCGAAAACTGCCACAACCTGGTACCTTTCCTGGGTGTAAGTATTTCAGTTTACTCAATACTAAGTCAGGAGTAATTCTGATATTCCCTCAGCCGTTAGCCAGCACTGTGGTACTCTGAACATGTGGATAAATGGTTTACCGGATCGTTGATGTTGGTGTTGAAGATTCAAGTCATCACTAGGTTTGTGAGATCTTCTTCATTTGAACCTTTGAGGTAACGCGAACTATGATTAATAGGTTTTATTTTTGTCATGAACATTAACAGCTTCTTATGGTTTGTGTGTATTTCGTCGGCTAGTTTTATCTGAAAGCGTCTCTTATCACTTCGGACTTCGTTATTGCAGCTGTTTCTTAACGCCAAGCAGGAACTTCGGTAGGATCAGTAATATTTTACGAGCTGCGGTGTTAGTGTTTCCCTCTTTTAACACGCCCACTGTTCCGAACTGTTAACAGACACTAGGGAGTTCAGAGTAACTGGCAGTGTGTTAGTCTGGGTAGGGACTACTTTGTCACCTGTTTCATACGCTTACTGCAGCTAGGTTTAGGTTTACCTTTTGGATTTGTGAGGAGAATTTCAGTGGAACCTGTGACTGTTAGGGGTATTTGAGGGGCTTCTGAATTCAGAAGAACAGTCGAAGAAGTTTATATACGCATCTTTCGCAGTTATCCCAAGAAGAAAGCAATATATCTGGGTAAGAAACGGTTCTATTATTAATCAGATAATAGAAATAATTACCTAAACAATACTGCACTGTTCCTTAACAAATTTATCACAATGTGTTTCCAATTCTGGAAGAATGCTTCCGTATAGGTCCAGAATTGCACCCTTCCAATCCAGATTCAAAGTTCACCACACAGGGTTTTAAATTCGATATGGCTGACGGTATAATTAAGTATCAATTTAAAGAGACTAATACAGTTCGGTAGAAAACATTGAAACTCCAATAAAGGTACAAAAAACAGAAACTACAACAAAATACAAATATTAACATCACAAAATGGGATTAAACAGAGTACCAAAATTTAGCATATAAAGAGTCAGTAAGAACATATTACAAATATATAGATAGAGGGATTTTCCCAAAACAAACCTTCAAATTGGTTTCTACAGTGGCTTCGCTTAAGCTAACTTCGCTTCCTCAGTTATTCTGCACCGTGGACAGACGTAACAGAATTACAGACAGGAGTGACTCAGAGTGAACACATATTACCCTCTAGATACTGTAGTGTCGCAGTGACAATGGACCTATGAACTGAAGATTTACTGATTTTTTTTTACCTTCGAGCAGGCGACACAGTCATCCTTCAGCAATCTCTGAACGAAATCCTGTGTCGGCTGAGCCCTCGGAAGACTTTTTCTTCCGTTCTTATTTCGCCTACCGGTCTTTCCCAAAAGTAAGAATATGAAGATTGTCGTCTTGGTTTTTATATTAGAGACCTAGTGTAGGTGTTTGGTTTAGATGTTCTGAATTTCTCCCAGGTACGTTATCAAATGACGTACTGAGCTTTTCCACAACTCTGTCTCTCAATACTGGGATTTTCGACTCAATAATATGACCGTAATTCATACCTCCTCCGGTTTTCCTAGATTTTACAGTGCAATAAGTACTAGCAGCCTTATTACTTAATATGATATCTAAGAGGTAATTGAAAGAGGAAAATAAGAGAGATAGGAGTTTTGGAAGGAAGAAAACAGTAATTAATAAATATAACTACGAAAGAATAGAACCTGAAATTGCCTGAAAATTGCAACTCTACCTTTAACCGTCCCAGTAAGCGACTTCGCGTGGATCCAGTAACTCTTTCACAAGTACTGTGTTTGAGAGTAAATGTGTGTATGCTGCCAAAGCAACTAGGAAGAGAGTATGTTTTGCCTCCACATATATTCCAGTTCGCTCATATTTAATTTGATTGAGCCTTTTGATTAATTTATGTAACCAAGCTATTTGTATAGCAACAACTCATATGTACCATTGGTATTTTTTATTATCTGGTTTGTATGAGCTTGTACGACTGAGCATTGCTTACGCCTACGCGCTTACTCATCCTTTTCGCTTTAATGTTAATCTCTTAATATCCCCATGAACTCACATGATTTGTATCGCTTACTTTTGACCCTGTCAGTTAATGACTGTGCACGCCTATTTCGCTTGTCATATGTCTGCCTTATTTTTGTCTGACTATATATTCGTAGTCATGTTCTATCTCTTTCAGTTGGCTCTTTGCCTTCCCCAACGCGCTTCACCTATCCATTCGCTTCCTTCGTTTTATTCACTGCTTCTCCGCTTCGCTTTGTGGTGTGTCCCGAATAAACGTATCCATCACTATGAGTTCATGTTCTGATTTATAAACCGAGCTTAAGAACACGCAGTAAATTGACACACAACAAGTAAGTTGATGGAGACAGCTGGACCTACTGCACAGTGTTTCCGACTTCGAATGAACCCGTTTGCCAAAATTTGTACTCAAATCGTCCGAAATGATCAAACATCCCAATCTGGTTTCCATAACTGAATTGTTTCCAATAAATGTTGGGAGGTCTACGAGGCCATGTCTATTTGGAATAAAAGTCTTGACTCTTAAAGAAATGTTGGTAGCGTCCAGAGCATTTTCGTCGACATATACTTGTTGGATTAGTCTTTTCAGGCTATTATATCCAACGAATATTCTTTTCCATGTCTTTCACACATTGTAAATTTAATGCACGCACATTTACAAACGACTTCGTTACAATCTTTGCAAATCTGTAGCCTCTATCTTTACAATGTTATATGTATATTAAAATGCTTGAAAACAATGTTAAACCAGACTTCGAGAACTTCGTAGAAAAGTACATCAACCCAAAATCCTCTAATAATCGGTTTGCTATTTCGGATGAGTTGGAGAATAAGGATTCGGAAAATAGAGATTACTACGGATTTTACCAGTAAGCGTTTCGTTAAGAATCATTCTTAATCATATCGCTGATATTTTTCAGTCGAACGTTTTTGTTTCGACTATGTATTTCGCTGGATGCCTAACGGTATTTATTCTCCAAACTTGTTTGTTTTTATGACTCTCATTTAGTACTCCTGCATTATTGCTCATATTTATCATTAAATTATAAACACTGGCCTAGTGTTTATGATGTAAATTTTTTTGTGTGATCCTGTAGTGACTTGTCTTAAATCATAGATAATTATACTTCAACAATAGTTACTGTCTATACTACATCTATTTGAAATCACTGTAAATCAGCCTTGATATTATATACCTTCAAACTCACTAGTTTTTGCAACACATAATTAGTTTTTTATTAGTCTGAAAGCGTTTTAACATTCATGAGCAAGTATTTTAACGAAAAATAAATGATAGTCTGAAGTTTCGCTTACCTTACAGTCGTTAATATCACCCTTAGTTTTTGTAGTTAACCTATGTTTGTTGTATAAATTCAATAAAGTCACCGTCAAGCTCCTATGGATTTATTGGCTTCAAAGTTTACTTAAATTTCACTTATTGTTAGACGTCTTTACTTAACCTCAATTGTATTCACGGAGGTCTGTTAGCGTTGGTATTCCTATGTGACATTAGTTTCCACCGTATATGCTTGCCACCTTTATTTACTGTCACTTTTTTATCGAAAGGTCCCCCTATACAACGTCCTGTGTATTTAGGTGCTCATTTGAATCAACAAAGCTAGAGTCTAGATTCCCAAAAGTAAACTATCAAGCGACCACACGTTGAATTCTACACGATAGTTCTCGTACATTATACAAAGCTTTCAACTCAGTGAATGTAGTTAACGAAGGTTGAAAGAAGGATCATCACGGAGATATATCATCTAGACCGGTATCCCCTAAAACTTTGAGTCCCATAGTTATGCAACACAATCTAGAATGTAAACCTGAAAAAAGCTTTACTAACCATACCATAAGTTTGTAGTCCTAGTTAAAGAGAACGCAGTTAAGAGGGATGTAAATATCCACTAAGATTGCTAAGTTTTGTCTTATTGTTGTCATTGTTGTAAAATACAAAAGTGTGAACTAATACGAGTTTTATCACTCACTGCTTGCTTGCTCAGCTACTAAACGCATATTCATTTATGGGAGTCATAACATCAGACAGCATTTAAATCTTGCTTTAAGTGACCTAGATTATTTTCTAGCCAGTAAAATCAACTGGTATGATAATATGCTGGCTGTACTTTTGTATGGTTTAATTAAACTGAACATTCAAATCATATGTTTAGTCATAAAATATGAAATTCAGTACTTTATGGTTTCTCCCAAGTTTCAAAAACTACTTAATACGGAAGTGTGCGAATAACTGTTAAGTGAAGTCCAACAGAAAACCTGTTCCATTTTTTGGTGTAGTATCTTTACGCTTGTAAACCCAACAGTAATTGCCGGTAAATTGCCTTGCAGGATACAAAATTAGTAACTGCATGAAAACAGCCTAATTGCCGTCAAGATTTTCGATGGGAATCGAGTAATGGTTACAGGAAGTAATGTTCCCCTCTGAGACGCATAATTTTCCCTCGTAATAAACCAGGTTTTTGTAACTTCTGTTCCAGCAGCTGATTTCACTTTGTTATCAGGTGGTGGCGAAACTTTTAGTGTCGTATTTATGAGATTCAGTCTGTACACACTAAACATCCAGTTGCCCTATGATGCGAATAATATATCTCACTTATTAAGCACAGACTTACGTCCCTCGCCTTGAACGACACTACTTGTGTGACTTATTTTAGAAGACGTATAGTCTAAAGATTTGTCAGTTGGCTATAAACTGAGAAATTTATTTATGTTATAACTATTACCACAAGTACTATGTTATTTCGCAAGATACTGAAGTAGAACCAATCTGGTTTTCGACCTGGACGTGGTTGTATAGACCACATTTTCACACTACGACAGGTCCTGGAACATAGACACACATTTAGACGTCCTACAATAGTTGTTTTCCTGGACCTAAAAGCGGCATTTGACTCAGTGGATCGTGAAGTTCTGTGGCAGTGTCTGTCATTGAAAGGTGTACCAAAGAAGTGCATTAACCTAATACAAGCACTCTACTCAAACACCACTGGTCGAGTGAGAGCTTATGGCGAACTGTCAACGGAATTCTTTACTTTAAGCGGTGTCCGTCAGGGATGTCCACTTTCTCCATTTTTGTTTAATTTTATCATAGACATGCTGTAAGAAATAACCTTATCCTCGTCTGAATTTTCAGGAGTAGACCTTTTACCAGGTGGCTCGCTTATTGACTTAGAATATGCCGATGACATTGTCCTACTTGGTGAAGACGCTGACAAAATGCAGAGTCTTCTGACTACCCTAAGCAACAATGCAAGCATGTTCGGGATGCGGTTCTCACCCTCGAAATGCAAAATGTTGCTTCAAGACTGGGTTTCATCGGCACCTGAACTAGTGATAGGGAGTGAAGTAGTCGAACGTGTAGACCGCTTCACTTATCTTGGGAGTCTCATCAGTGCCGATGGTCTGGTGACTGTCGAAATCTCAGCACGGATACAGAAGGCTCGATTGGCTTTTGCCAACCTGCGTCACTTATGGCGTAGGCGTGATGTCCGTTCTCTAACCAAAGGACGAGTGTACTGCGCAGCAGTTCGTTCCGTTCTCCTATATGGCTGTGAAACATGGCCGTTAAGAGTTGAGGATATGCGTAAGTTACTGGTTTTCGATGATAGATGTTTAAGAAGCATTGCTTGTATACCGTGGGACAACCGAGTAAGCAATGCTGTCGCTAGGAAACGGGTGCTAGGTAAGGATCGCAGATCAATTGATGAGGTGGTTGGGACATGTGCTGCGTATGCCTAACCACCGACTGCCTCATCGAGCTTTGTTTTGTAGTGTAGGAATAGGGTTGGAAGAAAGTTAGGGGCAGCCAAACCAAAACATGGCAGAAATCTATGAAGTCGTTGACGAGTGGACTTAGCCATGTCGGTAATTGTCGACTACCTGGTTGGGGTCCGCGAGATGATAATAATCGATGGTTAGAGACCTTGAATGACATGGCTCAAAATCGTTCGCAATGGCGTCGGTGCATTTATTCTTTGTGTTCTCTCAAATTCTAATCTTCTGGATACTTCAACACCTCTAGTTTTGACTTTCTAAACTTTTCTAATTAAACCATACTTCTTGAATAATATCTTCTAATACTAACCTCTCCGATTACTTCTAATACCCTTACTACCTCTTCTACTATTGGATTTGAATCGACAATTACATCTCTGTGCTGACTTGGTATGGCGACATGAACTGATGTACTTACGTACGAAGTTCTACGTTGCAACTGACTGACTGACTGAGAACTTCGTATTCGTATCTATTATGTATCATCATTATTGAATATAACTAAGGAAGTAATTGACAGAAACTCCTAAAGGGTATGCTCTTTAAAGAGTATATAGCCCTCGTAACTTGAATAACCATACCTAATGGCTTTATAGATTAGTTTCTCTATTTTCTCTAACAACTCAACCATATGTATATCATTTTTAAATGTACCGTAAACCAAATGAAAACATTACGCAAATGTACTTGTCTAAATCTGACTATAAGGTTCTCCATGTATCTCAGCTGAGCTACAGAATCTGTAGTTTTCTTAACTATGGATGGAAAAGTTTACTTACAGTTGAATAAAAATTAAAAAAAATTCAGTGAATAAAATCTCCTTCCCGAGGATATCCCTTTATGAGGCTGTACAATCGTATTATTTACAGGTAATATTTCCCGTAGTAGTAGTCTATGGTAAATTATTAACAAAATCCAAACTTGTTCGAGTGTAGAAACATAGTAGAAAGAGTCGAAAGCCACTCACTTGATTGGTTACTATTCTAAGTCACAGAGCACTCCGCAAAAGTTCCAATTGTGAAATATATTTGATTCTAGCATGCCGATGAGATGCTTGATCTCATCGAATATTATTGTGAGTAATTTGATAAAAACGAACAGCCCTAATCTGGTAATTAAAGATATTCATGACTTGGAAAATATCGAGTCATTTTTCTGTAGCATTTCTCCAGATAACTATTCAGGAGCTAAGTAAGATCTAAAAACTGATAGGAATAGGTGAGATTACAGAAAAGACTGATATCCGCCTCATAGTATAGAATCCCCAAGACAATTTCTGGGCCTAGAAAAACGTAGAAGTCTTTGATTAACTTCTGTTCGATAATACTGACATTTGAGTGAGACCAAACATGTCTCTAGAATACAGAATAAAAAGAGCGGCTCTAGCGGAATCAGAAAAATATTGACCGAAATGGTTCGGCAACACTTAGATCAGTAAGTCTTCGGGCTGTCAGCTCGTGGAAGCGAATGTTATTAGATCATTTTGACAAAACTATTTACATAAGTTGTACTTATGTAGTGCTAGTGGTTTGATAAATATAACATGCCAAAAGAATTTAGGAGCGATGGCATATGAGAGTATGAGAGATAGTTGTCCATTCGGCAGATATGAAGAAACTGAAAAGCTTAAAGTTCATACTAGTGATTGGATAATAATCACAAAAATTGATAGGATATAATGATAATTGGTTATTGTTTAAAAATGCAAATAATAATCATGAAATCAAAAAACCAAAAGCATATTGGAGAAGGAGATCAGTTCCAGGGAAGAATGAGTTCAGGCTCGAATTGGTGAATTGCCAATGCCTCGTCAGTGCCTAGGTTTTTAACCCAAACTCCACTGATCCAATCCCTTGAACTGAATAAATTATTTTAAAGGACAACTCCTTAAGTGCAACGTGTTCAGAGTTGATCTGATGCTTCTGTATTGAGCTGGTGATGTTTTTCCACTCTCCTTTAAAAGCCAAACCAAGCAGTGTTCTGAAATGCGTTTGGAGAGTGATCGCTTTGTGCGGCCAAAGCAGCCTACCCCACAGGAGCAAGTAAATTTATAGGTGCAAATCGATGTGGTCCGAAGTAGAGGTGTTTGTTCTTAACACACCCATAAGTAGTAGGTTGGCTTGATAATATAATGCGAAGTTTGGTTGAATAGAAGGCTTTATTTATGGATTTTGCAATCCGTTTATGCACGACTTCTGCCGATGTATCTCCCTTAAATTTGATATTTATAAAAAGAGTTTTTGTTTGAACTGTCAATGCTTTTTCAGTATATAGTCTTGTTGTTAAGTTTTTCTTTCGACAAATATGGATAGATAGCCATTTCGGATGAATATCTGTCGAAGTAGACGTAGTTAATTGGTGTAGCCGTAGAAAATGACATCGTCATAAAGAAAATTACCTTCACCGAATTCTCCTCATTTTTATTCAATGACACAATTACTTACTTACTTACTTACGCCTGTTACCCCCAATGGAGCATAGGCCGCCCACCAGTTTTCGCCAACCAACTCTGTCCTGGGCTTCCCTCTCCAGTTCTGTCCAATGTTTGTTCATTCCTCTCATATCTTTCTCTATTTCTCGGCGTAATGTATTCCTTGGCCTTCCTCTTTTCCTTTTGCCTTGAGGGTTCCAAGTGAGCTCGTGACGCAGTTAGATGCTTTCCGCAATGTGTGTCCTATTCACTGACACAATGGGTTTTTTTAATTACTCACAGTCGTGTCTGTAATAACAGTACTTTGAAACCGTATTCTTTTTTGGCTGGTAATATACTACTAATTAGCTGAACTGATGAATAGTTTCATTCCTGACGAACAGTTGACTCTTTTGAGTGGCATAATCAAACTTTCAGATATATAAACTTGATCACAGTGAGGGTTATATTTCAAGATCACAAGGTCTCACATTTTGTATCATTGACGCACTAGAGACACGTTTCATATAGAGCCGTAACAGTTTTCAGCCATCCTAGAAGCCTGCTGTACAAACATGTACTTGCCTGCCGACTTTAAGTGGACGTTTTATTTAACTATGAGGTTATTTCTGTCCATACATTGTTAATTAAGTGTCCAGATGGTTACCGGCGTTTCAAGAAAAATAAACTATTAGCTTGTCTATCGTCAGTTGTTACAGTTTAACACAATTGTTAGTGAATTTTCCTGCTATGTATCTCTAATTGCTTTATATTAATTTTTTCCCACACACTTATTTATACAACCAGACGGACAAAGTTACTGACAGTATAATTATGGTCTATAAAATACTGAATTTGATCTAAGAGAATTTGAAGTGAACTTCACGTTGCATCCTTGGCAGAGTATACCGTAACACTCACTTTAACAAAATCAGTAAGACCTGTTTGATTTGTCATAGACATGCTTCTGGCGATAACATTATCTGACTTTTCGGGTCTGGACCTACTACTAGGAGCCTCGCTTGTTAACTTAGAATATGCTCGGATACAGAAGGCTCGATTGTCTTTTGCCATCTTGCGTCATTTATGGCGTAGGCGAGATATCCGTCCGCTAACCAAGGACATGTCTACTGTTCAGCAGTTCGCTCCTTCCTACTTTGCGGCTGTGAAACATGGCCAGTAAGAGTAAAAGATATTCGTAGGTTACTGCTTTTTGACCTTAGATGTTTCCGTAGCATTGCTCGTTTATCTTGAGACTATCGTGTAAGCAATGCTGTTGTTAGGAAACGGGTACTAGGTAAGGATGGCACATTAATGGAGGAAGTAGTGAAACTTCATCGGTTAAGGTGGTTAGGACATGTGTTACGAATGACCAACCACCCACTGCCTCGTCGAGCTGTTTCGTGGTGTAGGAGTGAGTAGGTTCGAAGAAAGATAGTGGCGGCCAGACCATAAGATGGCAGAAATCAATGAAGACACTGACAAGTGAATTGAGTCATATAGGTAAATGTGGACTACCTGGTTGGGGTCCGCGAGATGATAGTAATTGATGGTTAGAGACTTTGAATCCCATGACTTGAAATCGTTTACAGTGGCGCAGGTGCATCCATTCTTTGTGTCCTCTCAAATTCTAATCTTCTGAATTCCCCATGACCGTTTTTCCTCCTTTTTTAACTGCTTCCTCTGGGGTATACATCTCGAATGATTTATTCGATCATTGATCTTTCTGATTACTGATAATACTTCTACTATCTCTACTACTATGGGATTAAAATTGGCAATTGCATGTCTGTGCTAATGTGGTATGGCAACTTGAACTGATATACGTACGTACGTACGTACGTACGAAGTTCTACGTTGTAACTAACTGACTGACTGCTGTTATCTTACTCCCCATAAATCATTATAAAACTGACACCAGGAATTTATTTTCATTTTCAGCCCGAATGGTTTGACGAAAAAACAGAGAATACTTGAAAATAAAGTATGTATTTTTCATGTATTTTACTTTACATAATTGTTTTCCAATTAGCTTAGCATAATAAATAATTCTAACAATGTGTTTTGTTAACTTGTTTTCATTTTGCTTCTGTTAAACATTACCGTAGTTTAAGGCGTTTATGGGATAGTCATTTCAAAACTAGTTAACTGTGGATTGGACATTAAAAAAAAGTCCATTGTAACTGTTCATTCGAGACTAACTTCTGGAACAGCCATTATCTACGCATCATCCAGTGTCTTCTACCTTTCACCCACTCCTAAACTTACAATCATCTTTTGCTTATGTACTCAAACTTCATCAGTTGAGGTGGTTGGGACATGTGTTACGAATGCCTCCTGACCACCGACTGCCTTGACAAGCTCTGTTTCGTGGTGTAGGAGTATGTTGATAGAAAGTTAGGGGCGACCAGACCAAAAGATAGCAGAAATCCATAAAGTCACTGACAAGTAGACTAAGTCATGTTTGTAGATGTAGGCTACTTGGTTGGGGTCCGCGAGACGATAGTAACCGATGGTGAGAGACCTTAAATGACATGGCTCAGAATCGTTTGAAATGGCGCAGGTGCATCCACTGTTTGTGTCCTCTCAAATCCTAATCTTTTGGATTCTTCAACACCTCTACTTTCGTCTTTCTAAACCTATCTCACTGAATTATACTTCTTGAATAAAATCTTGGAACCCTAATACTCTCTATTAACAGTAGTACTCCTACTATCTCTACCACTATGGGGTTTGAATTGACAGTTGCATCTCCGTGCTAATGTGGTATGGCAACATGAACTAATGTACGTACATACGAAGTTCAACGTTGTAACTGACTGACTGACTGACTCAGGAATATAGTCACTCTATGTGGGTTGATACTACGAACCCAACTTGATGATGTTTAAAATAAAGCAGATTTATACGTAACTAACTGCCTGCGCCGTTGATTAATGTAAACTAAGTTTCAAGTGTTCAATTAAAATTCCTTACAGCCTCGAGATACTTTCTTTTAAATATTTTCACAACTTCCTAGTGTTCAGCAAACGGCAGGTCCTGACAAATTTTGTAACTTTGATACTGAGACAAATATATTCAATGTTGATGGTTATGTGATTGTCAACAAAAATGGAACATTTTTAAAAATCGTATTCTTATCTCTGATTATTGATCCAATAGATTGTTTCCTTCTTTACACCGGTAATGTAAAATTTACCTGATTCCTGTAATATATTCAGTGTTCTCAGTCAGTCAGTTGCAACGTAGAACTTCGTACGTGTGTACATAAGTTCATGTTTGTCTTGGAGACCTAGGTGCGTGATCGCGGAGCCCAAGGGACAACTGCTTGAGGCCGGTCACGCACGGCCTTTTTATTAGAAGTTTTTTGAGTGTTAGCTCCGCACTTGAAAGCCCTTCGTGGGCACCCTTACCGCCGGAGACGGAAATCCGTGAGGTAGGGTGAGGTGTGACATTTTTAGGGTCGACCTTTTCTAACCCTTCCTTCCTTGTGAGAATATCGAACTGCAGCATCGCTGCAGATGCTGGTTGTCCGAGAGAAACACCTTACTGCTGTCACACCCCTCTGCAGTCAGCAGTACGACTTCGCCCTCAGACCTTGAGTAGCTGCTTTTAGTCTCATCGCTCTCCAATCGACCTGCCTGGCATGGTAGAACCTTCAGGAACGTATGTTCTAGCCAATATAGCTCGGTTGGGTCATCACGATAGTCAAGCCCGACCACCACGTCAAGGTAGCAGCAGGTATATATATATATATATATATACTATTTTTGCATGGAGATTTTCAAATTGTATTTGAATTAATTTGTACAATCTGTGTATTGAATTTCTGTATTAAGTATCGTAAAAATGATATTCGCCGTGTTGATAAATGGTTGAAGATGATTAATAAATGGGAAGAAGTCGATTCTTTGTGGCATCGTATGTACAAAAATGGTCGAGCTTCGGAAAAGGTAAGTATATTATTTATATTATTTACTGTTATATACTGTCATTCTACTTTCAAGGAATCGATTATTCCGACACCAATCGGTGGCTTAGTTAGTTAAACACTAACATACTAGTTAGTTGTAGGGTTCGTCACTAGGTACGCTTGAAGCTATGACGAGTTTCACTTAGTTGATAAACGCGAACGAGACAATTACCAGCGTCCAGGTAG